ATTCCTATGCAGCTTATTTTATTTTTGTTTAATCAAATGAACAGAGGGTCTTGAGGGGAGGGGGGCTGGAGAGATGGCTCAGAGGTAGAGCACTGTCGGCTCTTCCAGAGTTCTTGAGTTCAATTCCCAGCAACCACATGGTGTCTCACACCTCTTCTGGTGTGCAGGTATACATGCAGGACACTCATACATACATATAAATAAACTTTAAAAAAATTTAAATAAGAAACTCTCTATGGAAATGGAATTAGGAGAGTACTAGCTCAGTCAGTATTACATGAGACTGTTAATTGTAGGGCCATGGGTTTGGGAGCCATGTTGGGTGCCAAATATTGTCTTATCTTTGGTGTGGTAGCTGCTCCTTAATCTACTGCTACTTCAATCAGCAATTGCAACTCTACAGCTACTTTGCTTCTTCTAGCAGGAGCCTGGCCTCTCAGACCATAGCCTGATGGGTTCTGTTCCCTCAAGCACTGACACTGTCACTGCCACTAAACGTGGCTTTAACTAAATATCTATTATTCTATTTATACATAAGACTCGAGATTCAAAAGCTGGGGTGAAAACCTGCAAGCTGAGAGAGGCAGCTAATCCTGTGTCCTTGCTGGCCTCTCCAAAAGCCCTGCGCTTCTGCTCCACCAAACCAGAAAAAGCCAACCACTCCAAACCCATCCCACTACTCCCTGTGTCTCCATCTCTCCCGATGCACTCTGATGCTCTATGACCACTCTCTGTCAACTAGCTGATAACTCAGCCTCCTGACCCAAGGTCAATTTTATTAATTAACATAAATGCAAACTTGGGGTTCACAGTGTGATGGAATATCCCCCAACACACAGTCTCTTACTGGTTGGTAGCTTCCTACCTACAAAACTGATTGATGTTAGACTCTATGAGCAGACCTCTCTTATAAGAAACACATTGATGTTAGACTCTATGAGCAGACCCCTCTTATAAGAAACACATTGATGTTAGACTCTATGACCAGACCCCTCTTATAAGAAACACATTGATGTTAGACTCTATGACCTGACCCCTTTTATAAGAAACACAGACAACTGCCTGTATCTGCCACCATGCCTGGCATAATATTCAGTTGAACTTATTTTACCTTATTTCGTTGATAGGGTCTTATTTAGTTCCAAAGTTGACCTTGAACTTTCTTATCTTCATGCTTTACTTTCCTAAGTGCTGGATTCCAGCACACAGCACTAAACCTCATTTATATGTGGTGCTGGGTATTGAACCCAGGGCTTCATGCATCGAGGCAAGCATTCTACAATGGAGAGCACATCCTCAGCTATATCTACTTTGTGTGAAGTTATAAATCCTGATGTCTATATAAGCTCTGTAAGTGCTAAGTGATCTATATAATAGCTTTTTCTGATTTCAACCCCTATTTACTTTTTAAGAATGACCACTTTTCACTCAACATCATCTTATGAATCTAATATAAGTAGTTATGTTGGTGTTTGTAACTGAGGTTTATTCATTTCCATACTTATGTCAGTGTTGAATAAATTAGTTATATGAAAATATCTATTTTACCTATGCCTTGTTGATGAGCATTTGGTTTTTATTTTTTCTTTCCTTTTTATATGTTTTTGGTGTTTGTAAGAATTTCTTCAGTATCTATAATTACAGAGAGCAGAAGAATTTAGTGTATGCTAATGTTCAATTTATTTTTATTTATTTATTTTCATGTGTGTATGGGTGTGTGTTTGTGGTTTATATGTGTGGTGTATGATAGTGTGTGCATGGATATGCATGTGTGTAGGCCTGTGTGTACATACAGAGGCTAGAGAAGAATTCTGGTTGTCACTCTGTCCCTTAGTTCTTTGAGATATGGTCTCTCACTGAAGAATGGAGTCACATCTGTGTGGGGCCATGCCTGTTTTTAAATATGGGTTCTGAGGATTTAAAAATTCATTCATTTGTGCATAAATTTGTATACTTACGATATATATACACGTGAGTAAGTGTTTGTGTGTGTGGGGTATGAGTCCATGGCATGCTTGAGGATGCCAGAGAACACGTGGATACTGGTTCTTGCCTTTTACCTTGTTTTCCCCTAAGAGTTCATTCAGAGGACACAGTTGGCATTTTCACGCATGTTCTCCAAACCATTTTCATCAAATTGCCTCCCTGACTCTATAACTCGATTTGTTATGTAGTATGTTAAAAATCACAAAATGGGAATTATTAATGGTTATTAGGGGAGGGGAAATTTATCCCATTGTTTTGAGTGGGGCACATGAGCAATTTATGCACATGTAGTACCTGTGTTGTTGGGTGCATTATCAGATTCCTTCCAGATGCCATCTTTATTTTCTTATTGCACAAACTGTGGCTACTCTATATCCACTATCTGGCAATTCCAGCTTCTAAGACCTTTAGAGCAACACACCTGGTTTAGTTATTTCTACCAATTATATGACGATTTATTGGTGTATTTAGTAATTTTAAAACCATGAGTGCATATGCTGCTGAGGTTAGTTGGTGGAACTTACGCTACAAGTAATGTCTTCCATGTTCAACACTTTTGTCACTGTGCCAAATATCTGAAATAAATAACTTAAAAGGAAGAAAGACTTCTTCTGACTTACGGTTACAGAGGTTTTAGGCCACAGTCAGCTGTGCCCCTCTGTTTCTAGGCTCTGGGAAAGCAGAAGCTCATGGCAGGGAGTATGTGGTGGAGACAGCTGCTTACCTCCGGAGAAGTGTCCTGGACAAGATACCGCCTTCAAAGGCACTTGTCAGTGGTGCACTCTCTGTAACAGTCCTTTTGGCCACGAGACCATGGATGGATCAATACACTTTCTGGCTTAAAGATTTTTTTCAGGGTCACCATTCCTAAGGTTGCATTATCTTCAAGAATCCTGGTTCTCAATGGGAAACCTCTGGTATAGCTCTCCTACTCCCAGTGGTTCAAGACTTAATCTTCCAATCTTTGGTTTTTGCATTTGCTTCTACTTCACACTCAGGTGTCAGACTTCTTTTTCCTCTGTCATTCTTTGTCTTTAGTGTTCTTTTTACTTCCTTGAAAGCTAAGCCAGGTATTAAAAATTAACTCATGGCAATTTACTCAAGTCAATTCAAGGGTATTGAGTTCAATGCAGTCTTAGAGCATTCAGATCATGGCAATTTACTCAAGTCACTTCAAGGTATTGAGTTCAATGCAGTCTTAGAGCCTGCGGATCATGGCAATTTACTCAAGTCACTTCAAGGTATTGAGTTCAATGCAGTCTTAGAGCCTGCAGACCATGGCAGTTTACTCAATCACTTCAAGGTATTGAGTTCAATGCTATCTTAGAGCCTGCAGACCATGGGTCTGCTTGCCTGGCACCCTTTCCTTTTGTTTGTATGACTGAGTTTTGACCACTGAGCTCTCACTTTAGATGGGCCTTTCCTTCCAGCACCCACATAGCTCTATCATGTTACCCTGTTGTGATTCTTTCATGGCATCTCTTTGAGATAGCCTTTTTCATTCATTGTCGGAATTCTACTAGAACACAAAACCTGTGAGAGCAGGGACTTTGTGAGCATGACTCTCTTCTTCTGGTTAGAATAGCTCTGTGCACACATAGCTATTTATTCCCTTTAGACAGATAAGATCTGGTTTCTTCAGGGCTCCATTGTTCCATTCTTTCTCATTATCTTCTCAGCATAGTTGGCCTAGTCAATCTCCTTATATCCGGGGCCTCTGTAGCTCTGGTTAGCCTGAACTCACTATGTAGACATATTGACCTCAGACTCATAGAGATCTGCCTACTTTCTACCCTCTAAGTGTTGGGCTTAAAGATATATGCCACCATACCTAGCTTTCTTTTATTCCTTTCTTTTTTTTAAAGATTTTTAAAATTCTTATTTTATGTGTATGAATGTTTTGCTTACATGTATGCCTGTTCACCTGGTGCTTGTGGGGGCCAGAAGAAGGTGTCAGATTCCCTGGAACTGGAATTACAGATGATTGTAAGTTGTTACGTTGATGTTGGCAATCAAAACTGGGTCTCCAGAAAGAGCAGTCAATGGCTCTTAACTAAGCCATCTCTCCACTCCTTTGTGTGTGTGTGTGTGTGTGTGTGTGTGTGTGTGCGCGCGCGCACGCATGCATGAGAGAGAGAGAGAGATACAAGAAGAGGAATGAACATACATTGAATATCTCCTCCTATCAAGCACAGCATTCTGAATCATTTTATATCCTCACATAAATATTATATAACTGAAATTATTTATATCCATGTTGTAGATGAAAAAATCAAGGTTTAGAGTTTTATAGGGTAATTTAATAAGCAAGCATCTGGGCCTGAGACCCAGCTGGACAATATATACCCTGTGTGAAGTGTTGTAGAAGGCCTGCTTGCTCAAGGGACAAGTGACTGCCTCTCAGTTCAGAGTAATTGGTTCTTTCAGGAAAGCTTTATTTGAGAAGCTTAGCTGTTTAGTCGACAATTTCACTAGACCCAGTGGAGATATGGCTATATTTGGATAGAAGAGAGATGCCTTGGAGGTGATGCTCTTGTCCTGCACATGGGCATCCTGAATATCTAATAAGTGTCTATGATTGGTAACATTATGGAATTCAAAGAGAGTTTCAATTGAACCGTTAATTCACACTGGTGTGGTGGTTTGGATTTGAAATGTCTCCTGTAGGCTCATGTGTTCAAACCCTTGGTCTCCAGCTGTTTCCAACATCTGGAAGTTCATGGAACCTTTAGGAGGTGGAAACTTGCTACAAGAAGTGAGTCATGAGTTCTGTAGTGTGACTCTACTTCCTTTCTGCTCTCTGCTTCTTTATTGTAGGTACAACGTGGCCAGCATCTTCCTGCTCACTTCTGTGACTTTATTTCCATGATTGTGTTCCTTCTTAAGCTGTAAGCCAAAATAACACCCTCCTCCCTTTAGTTGCTGTTTTCCATGTTTTAATCATAGCAATGAGAGAAAGAAACGACACACTGGATCACTAGGCAATAAAGCAAATGACTGTGCATATGCTGCCATTTTTTAAAGTAACAAAATCTTATTTTTATTTTTTTCAGAAATTCAGATATTCCAACAAATATCTTTACATTTCCTGGACCTTAAAAAATTGCACACAACTTTTGGACATAACATAACAGAAAAGAATGAGAAAGGGAGTCTTTTTTAAAAGGTAAAAACCTACTTCGTATACTTAACATTTAGCGATTTACATGTGTATTATCTATGTACAAAGAGAATATCATCAATGACCTATCTTCATAGCACTGTGGTATGCTGAATTACACTTAGGTTTTATGGCAAAAGCTTCTTGAAGACATTTGCAAGTGGAGAGGAAGAACTTTAACTTTTTTGAACACATTACTACTTGTGATGTAAGACCCGAGACAGAGCCATAATTTACATGGGTTAGAGGAATCTGATGTCTTCTGTTTCTTGGGTAGATATAAAGATGCCTCCCTTTAAATAAAAGATGAATTTTTAAAAAGTTGTGTGTAGTTTGAGGCCAGCCTGGTCTACAGTGTGAGTTCCAGGAGAACCAGGGCTACACAGAAAAACCCTGTCTTGCGAAATGAAACAAAACAAAGCAAAAGTTGTATGTAATTAAGTTTAGTAAGTAGGGTATTCTGAATGCATTGGGCCAACTATTACTTAAAGCAACAAAGAGCCCCCAGAATGACTAATACTATAGTTACAGAGACTAAGTGTTCCCTTAGTATAGATCTTTAGGAAAGCCACACCTCTGTGAACTGGGTTTTATCTACTTGAGCACTTAAGCGTATCCGTAATATACTTTTAGCCATTCGAAACGTTTGGTTCATGGTGAAAACATGGCTAAAATATGAATGTGCTCTTCTGCAAGCTTAAGAGAGGGCACCCTGACTCTTTGTTATGCTCCACCTGGTGTTCTAGTGACAGATGCTAATTCTGAGCCTCTGAGTGAAGACATTCTATATGTGTGTGTTTTCTGTTCAGGTCTATACTGCGGGCTGGCTTCCACTGAGCTCCCATGTGTACTTCAGTTTGTGTTTACCCTCATACAGTGGACTACTTCAATATTAAATGTTTCTCTGTGTTGCATTTAAGCAAGAGATGTTATGAGGGCAATGGCTGGGAGATCCTGGGAAGAAAAGATCCTTGAAGACAGATGTATAGTTATAACTACCACCAAGTATTGGCTAACCAAAAGGAAAGAAATATATGAGAAATTTCAAAACCAACATTAACAAACAAAAGGTAATTTATTCCTATCAAGTTCTTTTAACTTGTATAAGTATATAGTTATTTACTAAGGCTATAAAGTTTTTATTTATTTTGTTAGTACCTCTTACTACCATTTAGAAGTAGCTTTAATGGAATAATTTTTTATCAAAGCAAGAATGAGTATATGTCAGTAAAGAAAATAAAGGATACAGGTTTCTAATGACATACAGAATGAAGAAATAGAAAACTCATATTTTAGATATCTATTTATAAAGTATATTAAATTCCTATGCATATACTAGGGGGAATTAGAAAAAGTGTTTATTTGATAGTAGCCTATATATTACATGAGAGAGCATCCAAATAAACCTTCTATTTTGTTCAGAATTCCTTGGTGCTGTCTGTTGCTTGGGAACCTGTGATGTAACGGTGAAACTTCTTGTGATTCACAGTTTTATGGAGCAATAGCAGAAACATTTCCTTGGTGGTAACTTGTACAGACAGGTTAAACTGAACACATACTTGGCAAGAAGCTGGAAGGGCTGCGTCTCTTAATAGCCAAGTAGTTGTGACTAATTGCACAGTGAAATGAGTGGACAGTGGTGACGAGGGACTAAAGACCGCTAGTGATGCTTGGTTAGCCTCTTGGCTACTGAGACAGGAATAATCTACAATTAACTGCTCTTTTGTTTCCTTTAAGAGTACTGAAAGATTAAAGCATTTTTGTTTTAGTTTGATTTAAAAAGGACAGTTTATAAACCTCAGTACCTATGTATTTTACATGTTAATTCTAGCACGTTTGTATTCTTCTTTCTTAAACTACTTCCTGAATATGATTTTTCATGAGTGCTATCTGATCTTATATGATGACAGTTTCCAATGAGCTGGTGTGTGACCCGTGATCATAGCTCCTCCCAGAGAACCATGCGAAGTTCTGCAGATCTAGACTCAGAAGGTGCTTTGGCGAGTGGCTGCTTCATGTTTGTGCATTTCGTCTCTGGACTCTGATCTTTCCCAAGTGTCTTCCTTCTTGATGTTGATGGACAAAGCTGTTTGTTTAGCTGTTATTTGACTTGTTTTGTGCTCATTCTAGAGAATATTGGCTTAGCAGAACTGTAGAGAGGAGTGGGAGGAGAGAGAAAAAGGGTTGGGGGAAGAGAAAAAAATACATCATTTTTTGTCAGCAGGATTTTCACATATTCGTCATGGGACAATACCACAACAACTGGGCCTAAGTAGAGGACTTGCTTAGCATGCACAGGAGTGATAATGCACTCCTGTCATCCTAGCACTTGGGTGGTGGAGGGAAGAGGACCAGAAATTCAAGACCATCTTTAGGTTCATAGCAAGTCTGAGGTCAGCCTTGGCTGTATAAGGCCATGTCTGAAAAACTAAATACCTTTCTTATGCCAACAAGCAGTTCAGATGCACTTTGGATTTATTTCCAAAGACTTTGTGCCATTTGCTCCGTTATACACACAGTAAAGTATTCTCAACCAGCTTCATAAATCCAAATATCCATCTGACTTGAGACTGTAGGCTGCTTCAAAGGAGTAGGGAAGGAGGCAAAACCAACTCAAGTATCACTCATCTTGCCTGGCATAGAATAGGTTTTCTATATCTCAACTGTTTTACTTTTCTTTCTGTTTTATTTATTTTACATGACATTGTTAACAAGTGTTAAAAAAAAAGACCATATATGAACCACTCACAAATCCAATTACCTTTAAATATCAACTGTTTCCTTCCCATGTTCTTAATATTTTCTATGAAAATGCACTTGTATTTTATAAAGTTGGAATCACAGTACTGTTTAGTATTTTTAACATTGCATTGACAGTCATTATCATTATATCAGCTTCTAATGGCTATGTAAGATTCCATTCTATTTCGTTAAAAAAGGAAAATTGGTACCAATCCTGACAACCTTATAATTAGTTTATTTTTATGGACATTGGTGTTTTTCCTGCATGTGTTTCTGTATGTGGGTGTTGAATCACCTGGAACAGGAGTTATTGGCAGTGGTGAACTGCCATGTGGGTGCTGGAAATCGAACCCAGGTCCTCTGGAAGAGCAGTCAGTGCTCTTAACCACTGAATCATCTCTCCAGATCCCTGTCATTCTACTTTCATTCCTTACATTCATGCTCAACATTTCATCCTCCACAATTTCACTACTTCCAGATGTCTAGGCAGATTTTGATTTCTTTCATCTTAAGGGAAGATATTTGTTGAGAAAACAGGGTCTCACTATGCAGCCCAGGCTGGTCTCAAACTCCTGATCATCTTGTTTCAGTTTTCTGAGTCCTGGAATTTCAGACATTCACCTGCACACCCAGCTGGCACTGATTTTTATTTGTTTGTAATTGTAAACAGTGGACCTCTTTGCCTCTAAAGATCTTTAGGATAGAGTATTAGGGAGTGGATGGTTTTCATTTCCTCCAATAAATTGAAGACTATTTTTGTGTTGCCATAACTAGACTTTCAGGAGTATGGTCGTTCTTTTCTTGGGACGATTGCCATAGACTTTGGCTCAAAGACACTGTGTAGAATGGGAGTCTGGGTCTATGGACTGGCTGACTGGTACAGCAAAGGCTGCATATGCTGTTTGGTTTTGCAGCACACACTTTAGAACACAAGGTGAGTTTCTGATTTCTGAATGCTAGAGACTGCTCAAAGGTTCTGTTGTTATCGGAAATGCTTTCTCCCTCAGTTTCTGCCACACTTAAAACATCTTGGTCATGATGTGATCTTAATGAACTCACCTCAGCAAGACAATTCAGTAACTGTAATGTGCCCAGAGCACACAGATTATAATTTAAATGTGTACATGTTACAGTGATGACCTGTCTGTAACAATTTTGTGAGACTGAGTTATGCTGGCAGAAACCCTACAGAAAAGAATGCCGTCTTTAGATATTGTGAAAATTATACAAAGAATGGTGGGTGTCTGTAATGCTAGTTCTAATAGGTCTTAATAATAAAAGTTGGGAGTCAGATATAGGAGTGAAAGCTGAAAGATCAGAGAGGTGAAGGAGCAAGCCACAGTCACACTTGGCCAACTTCCCAGTTTAAAAGGGAGCGAGTTCCTGTTCCCTCCTGCCTATATTTCTCTCATCTCCACCCAGTCATCTCACTTCCTGTCTGTCTGTTAGCTAGTGGCCAGCTCCACTCTCTGATCTTCAGACATCACCAAAGCGGGTCCTGAGCTTCAAATGGCCTGCTGTGTCGCCTTGAGCAGAGCCCAGACTGCAGGTTTGTGGGTTCAGAGTTCCACTAGGTTTGAATGCCTTACTCAGATCTTTCTGTTTGAAGTCCACACAGATGAATGCCTGAGATCTACAGTTGGATTATGTTAAGCGCTAGTCAAGGATGAGAGAGAATGAAATATAGGAAGGACAGTATGGAGATGGCTGTTTAAAAGAGGGTAGAGGGGACTTGAGAGATGACTCAGGGCTTAAGCACAGGACCAGAGGATCAGGGTTTGATTTTCATTACCCACGTGGCAGTGGGCAATCATCTGTAACTCTAGTCTCAGGGGACCTAATGCTCTCTTTTGGCCTCCATGGGCACCTGGCAGGAATGTGGTGTGCAGACACATATGCAGGGAAAATCCCTATAAATAAAATAAAAACGTAGCTGGGCAGTAGTGCCTTTAGTCCTAGCACTTGGGAGGAGAGGCAGGTGGATCTCTGGGTTGGAGGCCAGCCGGAGTTCCAGGACAGCCAGGGCTACACAGAGAAACCCTGTGTTAAAAAAACCAAAAAAGGAAAAAATGTTTAAAAAGCAATTAGCCACATGGAGGAGAGGGTAGCACACTGAAGTGCTTAGGGTTCCACTTGTGTGTGATGAAGAAGAGTTAAAAGATCCCCCCTTCTTTTTTGATGGTCTCAAAGACACCAACCACTATAAAAAGCTTGATTTGCTCTGAGGCACGTGTGAACAGCCGTGAACTGGAGACCATTGCTTCTTTTCCCTTAGCTCTCAGCTGCTGAGACTGGCTTTATGTCTGTGGCATCACAGGATGGAGCAAGAACATGAGACTATCCGGAAGGAAGTGTGCAGGGTAAGATCCAATCTCACTGTACTGGGTTGGGAGAAATGAGTATGGGAAAGAATTTCGATCATCCCCCATAGCGGTAGGCTCATGCCTGATTGAGAAGGGGCTGCCTGCAGGGTGGGCATCCTTTTGTGAAGATACTGAGCTTCCTTGTGGGACCAGAGCTCTTGTGATCAATCTCGTAAGAGCCATGTACATCTCATCAACCTCTGGGCCCACATCCCCAGGCCTGACCAGGACGGAGCATGGGGTCACCTGTGGCTTTCACTCATTTAAATCGCTCACTGGAGCCCTTACTCTGACCCCTACTTAAATCGATTCATCAAATACTTACTACTATTCCTCATCACTGTAATTATCCTCACCTCAACTAACAACATATTCCAACTATCCATAGGCTGAGAAGGTGTAGGAATCATATCCTTCCTACTAATTGGACGGAGGTACGGGCGATCCCACACTAGCACAGCAGCCCTACAAGCCATCCTTTATAATCGCATTGGTGACATTGGATTTATCGCTACAATAGCCTGACTAAGCCTAAACACAAATTCCTGAGAATTCCAGCAAATCTTCATAATAGATAACAACAGCATAATTCCATTACTAGGCCTTTTAATCGCAGCAATAGGAAAATCAGCACAGTTTAGCCTCCACCCATGACTCCCATCAGCCATAGAAGGTCCTACCCCAGTTTCAGCTCTACTTTACTCAAGCACAATAGTAGTAGTAGGTATTTTTCTTCTAATTCTCTTCCACCCACTAATATCTAATAACAACATGGCCTTAACTATTATACTCTACCTGGGATCAGTAACCACACTATTCACAGCAATCTGCGCTCTGACCCAAAATGATATTTAAAAAATTGTAGCTTTCTCTACATCCAGCCAACTAGGACTTACAATAGTCACACTAGGTATCAACCAACCCTACTTAGCCTTAGCTCACTATTGATCACTCAAGTTTTTTTCTACTGAACGGCCTAGTTTTGCTTGTTTTTCGTTGTTTTTTTTTTTTTCCCCTTGGCTTTGATGGACACTGGTCTTCTAACCCAGGGTATCAAGGAGCTGAGGAATGAATGGCAAATTATAGTAGGAAGCTGGGCTTCTATTGAGACAAAGCAAGTTCAGTGCCTAAATTTCAAATGTAAAGAACCGCATTCTGAGGGTCAGTCCAGGGAAGGACGTCCTTACGTTCTGTATCAGGGGTCCTACTTGCCTACCCTCGGTCTGGTGCTGCTTCTCTCTGCAGGCTGGCCATTGCAAGGTTTTCTGAGCATGTTTGCCTGAGTCTGCATTGCCTAGACACTGTTATGCTTGGTATTTTTTCTTCCTAGGGCATGACGCCACCATGCAATGACAGCCTCAGGGCGTGTGAGAGTTCTGTAGATCACTAGGCTAAAAATAACCAGAGCATTGGTTCCAGTGGGGCTCAGAACACAAACACCCCACATAACATCAGGAAGCCACTTAGCTTGGGGCGTAATGTTAGAATGTCATTACTCTCGCTCAATACTGTGTGCACAGTGAGGTGTTTCCACCTGAAAGCCCGGCAAACCTGTGAATACACACAGGATTGTGAAGGGCACAGGCATAAGGAAAGAATGAAGGGCCAGGCCTTCCTCTCCTCTTGTGACCGTTCCTCCTTCTGTCTTCAGAGTATGAGCTAGCAGGGCAGCTTGCAGAGTTAATTAGGAACTTCAGTATGGCTACACTGTAATCACTGCCTTGTAAAACATCCTGCTCTTTTCAACATTTTTGCTAGCATTTTTCATGCACATGGATATTACCTATCAGGGAGGTAATTTAAAAGCTGCCATATCCTCCCAAGTTTGTACAGAGCAGGGCTGAATAAATAAGTCATTTCGTGCTGCTGTGGATCTTTGTTCTGTCGGACTAGACCTTGTAACATGTCATGGGCTCTGAGTTGCCCATGGTTCATTGTCAAGGGGCTCTTCACAAATCCTTTGTGAGGCTGTTAAATCACTGCTCAAGAGAGTAGCAAGCGCAATAGCTTCACTGTCCAGACCATTTAAATGCTACTTTGTTGAATTTTCTACATGTTTATTAATGCTGAAAGGAAGGTCTCCTGACAGCTGCTTCCTGCTGATTTTTCCTGTCTAACCTGTACAATTAGGTTCTGGAGCCCCCTCAATCAGGCTGGCTAGGAGTGGAGAGAGGCCAGGCTTTTGGGGGTAATGGCTAATGAATCCCAGTCGTGATAACAGTGAGTAACTGGTGGTGGTGGATTCTCGCCTGCTTTTTCTCATCGAGTTCTGCCTCCCCCGGCCCCGCCCCACTCTGTTTGGAACTGTGTTCACTTCTGACAGGGACCTGCGATTCCCTTCATCTCTGGGAGGTGGGTTGCAGTCCTTCATGATCAGTAACAATCTCACATGTTTTCTCTTTGTCTGTCAGCAGAATTTGATCTGTCTGTCTAGGTCTTCTATGCTCCGCTCCTCCAGCTGAGCAAAGCGAGGACAGTCGAAGTAGAGACTCCTTCCACCAGTAACAGCCTATCAAGTCAGTGCTTCCCGCGCCTCCACATGCACGAAAATCCCCCGGACAGCTGTAAAAGTGTGCAGACTTTGACTTAGCCTGTCTGGAGGTCTTGTCCGAGACCTTGGATTGCTAATAATCTCTCTAGTATAGCTCTGAGAAGCGAGGCCAATAGACTTAACTTTGTGAGGCAAAAAGAACTAGTCATCTTTGAACTCCCAGCCTAACAAGGTACTTGATATACAAGCTCCGTCTACAGGAGAGTTCCAGGCCCTCCAAGGCCACAGAGCAAGAACCTGTCTCTAAACAAACAAACCAAACAACAACAACAACAACAAAACAACCAACCAACCACCACCACCACAAAGCCCCAAACCCCAAAAAGGTATTTGTCACAGGAATCCACAACAATCTGGTGATGAAAACCTTCAGCAATTGCTAGAGACCTGCTATTCCTGAACTTTGGGACTTTTAATTCCCTGCACATCCATTAATGTCCAGAGCCAAGGGATCAAAACAGGTGGGTGCTGTCTCATCCTGGGTCTACATGGGGAGACTTTTTCCCACCTGCTTTTAACAGTAACTTTTTCTCGGTGTATATAGACAAGCATTGAAGAAATGGGCTAAAAGTGTGCCCCTGAGAGGGTCCTATGACATTTCTTTCTTTCCTCAGGTTTGTTTTTTTAATTAAAAAATATTGCATTTATCAGTTCATGACCAGCATGTATATGCAGGTCAGAGGGCAGCTTGTGGGAGTTGGTTTTTCTCCTTCCCCATGTGAGTTCTGGAGGTGGAAAATGCAATCTGTTACCTTGGAGTTAAGAGCCTTATTCACTGAGGCATCTTACCAGCTCCATTTTCTTTTTAAACAAATCTTTGTTTTTCCTGACCCCCTTCATTGTCACTGTTTATCTCCAATTCCCATTGAGTCTGATGTACTAACATCAGTGTAAGCAGAGTCTGTGCTAACATGATCTTCTGTCACTGTGGAAGAACTCTGCTGGGAATGGCTGGGTCTGGGTCGCAGTAGACTGTTCTGTTATGTGATGGACAACTAGACTTGGGTGCCTGGCACAGTGTTTTCTCACATGATCTTTTCTCACAAAGTAACTCATGAGAAGGGATTAACTTTCTCTCTTTTTTTTTCTTTGTCCACATAGGGATGAGACCCCCCACTTTTGCAAACTGAGTGGATCTGTTGCTGATTTGTGAGTCTAGATGACATTCTCTGTCCAGTCTGATCCGAAGTTACTCCAACTTTTATGTAGGTCAAAAGGTTCTCCCTACAATGCCTACAAGAAAGACCTCAGGCAGGATGAGAGTATAGAATCCTCAGTTTTCAGTATGAGTTCAGGTGATCCAATGGGCTCCACCTATACCTACATCAGGGAGCACTAGGCATTCACTTCATAACTGCTTTGCCTTCCTGTCTGATTATGTAAGCTACCTATAAACACTTTCCCGTGTCTTTGGCCATCCTTCAGAAGTATAAGTAAAAGCAAATGCAAATTGGGTGTCACCACACATGGAGTCCGAATCTGAATTGGCTTCTCTTATAATAAATCCATCTCTGTTGCCTTTGAATAGTCAGCCTCACACACCTCCCTCTATACTTGCTGTCCTTCCTTTCTGAGGCTACTGATTTTGTGTCATTTCTCTACTGTTCATACTATTCTTTTGGCCTGTGTGTTTTTGTTATACCTCCTTTCATCTTCATCTCCCCCAAGTGTAACACACAGACACACAGACAGACAGACAGACAGACAGACAGACACACACACACTTTGTTCCTTTCTTCAAACGGTTGTCCTTCTTTGAGATTGTTTCTTATTTTTCTTAGAGGCATGCTGTGTAGTGGTTTAAATGATTCCAAGCTAAATGTGTCTCTTATTCCCCTTCTTCTCATGATTCCTTCCTTTCAGTTATAAAATAACCTTCCATTATGAAGGCAGCAGTGGTTTGTTTTTGGTATAAAAGAAATTCACTAACACAATGGCTGGGTAAATTTAAGAAGCAATACATGGTGTAGCCATGTGTCTTACTTTAGGACTGACTATTGTCTATATTGATAACTTGAATATAATTGGTTGTGTCAGTTTCACTATATAAAGAGAAGATTTCACCAATGAAAAAACGGAGTACAAAAGTCAGTCAGTGGTGGCATGCACCTTTAATCCTAGCACTCAGGAAGTAGAGACAGAAGGATCTTTGTGAGCTTGAGGCCACCCTGGTCTACAGATCCAGTTCCAGGAAAGTCAGAACTGTTACACAGAGAAACCCTCTCTCAAAAAAAACTAAAACTAAAAACCAAAAAGGGGGCATAGATCTAAAGAGAGAATTCTCTCAACATAGGAAAATCAAAGTGGCTGAAAAACACTTAAAGAAATGCTCAACATCCTTAGCCATCAGGGAAACACAAATCAAAACTACTTTGAGATTCTATCAGAATGGCTAGGATTAAACGCACAAGTGACTGCTCAAGCTGACAAGGATGTGGAGTAAGGGGAACACTCCTCCACTGTGGGTGGGAGTGCGAACTTGTTCAGCCACTGTGGAAATCAGTATGGTGGTTTCCCAGAAAATTTGGAATTGATCTACTTCAAGACTCAGCTATACCGTTACTGGGCACATACCCAAAGGATGCCCCATCCTACCACAAGGACACTTGCTTATCTACGTTCATAGCAGCTTAATTCATAATAGCTAGGAATTGGAAACACTTGAGTATTGCCCAAATGAAGAATGGATAAAGAAAATGGCTACGATCCACAGGCCCAGCAAGGCTAAGTAACAAGGATGGCTCAAGGGAGGGATGCATAGATTTACCTAGAAATGGAATAATAGATTTTGCAAGTGGACTGGGGGTTCATGGGAATGGGAACAACAGAGACCAGGCAGGGGTGGTGGTGGCAGGGATGTAGGGAGAGAGTATTGGGAGAGATGACTGGGATTGCAGGGCATCTTGGGGGTGATGTAGAAACATAGTGCAGTGGAAACTCCCTGGAATCTATGAGGGTGACTCTAGGAAAAACTAGTAATGGGGGGGGGGTGCATGCAGAGCCTGACTCAGCCACCTTCTGTAACCAAGCAGGGCTTCCAGGGGAGGTATCAGGACACCAACGTAGCCACAAAAGCTTCACCCTTCAATCTGTGCTGTCTGCAAGATGTACTGAGATAGAGGTGATGCAGAACTTGTGGGAGGGGCCAGCCAATGAGCGGTCCAACCTGCCATCATGCCAAGGAGGAAGCCCAGGCCTGACACTGCCTGAAAGACCAGGAACCAGAGGCTGGACAGCCCAGAGACCTAGCATAAACCCAAACATGACGGGCAAAAAAAAAAAAAAAGTTAATGAAATGATTCCTAATGATAAATCTGCTATACTTGTAGACTGGAGTCTAGCCTCAGCAACTGACAGGAGCAGATGCAGAGCTTGCATAATCCTGTTGAAGTAAGGGAGGAAGGATCGTAGGAGCCAGGGGGATTAAGGGCATCACAAGAAAATGGTCTACAGAATCAGCTAACCAGGGCTCATATGAGCTGACAGAGACTGAAGCAACAATTACAATACCTGTATGGGTCTGAGCTAGGTCCTCTGCATATAAGGAATACCGTCAAGGTAGCCAAGAATAAAGGCATTTAGTAGCTGTGTGATCCATCTCTGTCCAACTGACAGTGGTTAACCGCAAATGAGGGAACACTGAAGGCAGCCTGAGATGGGCTAACCCACAAATGTTTGAGGCTTTCTAAAGTACAGATGCGACAGATGTTTTTCAGCTTGAAACTGTCTGGAAGCAACACTTTCCTCTTGTGGCCTTCCTTACTATGGCAGCTTGCTGCTCACCCCAACTCATCATGTCCCAGTTCAGGCACTGATGCCTTCTGTTGGGAATGCAGGATAAACATTACACATGGTTCAACTCCCTCCACTGTTTCCTGGACTGCTCCCTTCCCTTTCCAGGGTTTCCATTTGCCCAGTCCTCCCTGGTCAGGGCCCATCTCACCCTCTTGACAGCAAGCCTCCAGGACAGTAAGGGCCATACTAGATATACCTGTGCCCCAGCACGTGGTAGGCAGAACCCAGATACAGACCGACCCGAGGAAGAGCTGATTAGAATCCAGCTCCTTGAAACAGCGCTCCCTCCAGTACATCTCTTCATTCCACCTTTTAAAGCACGTATTTGAGGAACCCAGCTCTGCATATAAAACAGACCCGAGAGCGACCACCCCAACTAAGGCGCTCTACCTTCCCAGGCCCCGCCCTCCTTCCCATTGCATTGCTGCTAAGAGCCCAGGGAACTATCTTGAGAAAGACTGCTTTGCCCTCACTGCGGCTTCAGTACAGGTTCACGGGCTTCCCTGTTAGCTAGTGCTCTCACACTGACTCAGGGCGTTGGGAACCTGTGGAGAAATAGCCAAACCAACTGTGTTAATAGAGGATAAGGCAAGCTGGATGGGGGAATGTACGATTAGGTTCCAGAGAAGCAATGGCACTGCTGAGGAACTGACTATCCTGAGGGCTGTGCAGGCTGGGCTTGCAGCGTGGTGGTAGAATGCTCGCCAAGTTTTGGATCTCCAGCATGGCAAAACAAATCCAAACAAAAGCCCAAATCAAACGAGATATAGTAGAACCATCTAGAAACCAGGGATGACTCAAACCTTATCTTGTTTTTTCTAAGTTAGCATTTATTGAAAACGTGAATCTTCAGCGGTATTGAATCTTTGCAAAGTTTCTTTGATGATCATAAAAATTCATGTCCTTAGGAAGCTTTTCTCAGAAACTAGACTCATAGCTTTTCTAACTGTGCCCGCTGTACCTTCTTAGCTCTCAGTTACGTGGGTACTTGTAACTATGCAGACTTCAGAGTCCCAGCTCAGCCTGCTAGACCAATAGCAAGTTCCCTGGAGGATGCTCATTCAAGTTCAATGTTTATGGTGCTTTGAGTTTAGAAAATTTGGTGGAGATGCAGATCCTGGGTTGGCATAGTTTCTGTTTTCTCTTTAGGAAAATGGACCTGGGACCCATTTCATATAGTTCTTTGAGGAAACAAGATTAGCATTCGAAATATTTTCTGGTAAAAGGAGAAGGGGTGGGAACAAAATAGTGTAGAATTGAGAACATCTGTATCAGCCTTCCCTGGGAAGTGTTTATCTCAACAAATGACAAAAAAATCTCTTGAGTTTTTCAGGATTATTTGAAACAAAACACCTGAAAATAACTCTTTTTCTTTTTTCTTTTTACGAGACAGGGTTTCTCTGTATTGTTTTAGAGGCTGTCAGTCCAGCCCAGCCTCGAACTCACAGAGATCCGCCTGCCTCTGCCTCCTGAGTGCTAGGATTAAAGGCTTGTGCCACCACCGCCCACTGAAAATAACCTTTGAGGGAGGGCTTTATAGGATGATGGCCCAGGGCTAGAGACACACCTCCCTCTGGGGCACACCTCTGGCTGGAAGGTGGAAGTCAGGTGTTAACACATTTTACTTTAGAGGGAGTGTTTTCTTCGTTCCTTCTTTCCTTCTCTTTCCCTCCCTCCCTGCCTCCCTCCCTGCCTCCCTCCCTGCCTCCCTCCCTGCCTCCCTCCCTCCCTCCCTCCCTCCCTCCCTCCCTCCCTCCCTCCCTCCCTTCTTTCTTTCTTTCTTTCTTTCTTTCTTTCTTTCTTTCTTTCTTTCCTTCTTTCTTTCTTTCCTTCTTTCTTTCTTTTAGACAGGGTTTCACTATGTACCCAAAGATGGGCTGAAACTTGTGATCCTCGCACCTCAGCTTCCCAAGTAAATTACCACACCCAGCTTCTTTTCTGTTTTATGGATATGATCATCCTAAGTCAGGTCATGTCTCAGTTTAGAAATCAGGGCAATTGCTAAGGTTTCTCTCTGATGATGCTTGCTATCTTAGCTAAGTATATCCAGTTGCTAACCTAGGTGCCTTGCGTATGTTATAACATTCAATCCCTATAAACAACTTCTAGGTAGCAGGTGATAGCATTAAGTTCATTTATTTTTTATCTTTTTTGTGGTGTTGAGAACTGAGCAAAGTGCTTTGTATTTCCTAGGCAAGAGGCTCTAGCATGGGGATACCCACCTGGTCCAAAGAACCCCATTTTATCAACGAGAAAAGCATTCAAGGGTTATGAAGTCAAGGAATATATATATATATCACTTTAAGGACAATAAAGAGGCAGGACAGGCACACTCTAGATTTGCTGTGTTCTGGAACTTTTAAATTTGATTTCACCCCACGTGATTTGAATGAATGTGACCTTTCCCATATGTGTCCTGTCTCTTTACATAGATGAAGACTGGGTTTCTAATTAGTACCAAGTGTCAGCTTGAAGTCTAATGAACAGTATTTGATAAATTATAAAAAAAACATTGGAGATAATTCTCATGAGAAAACATAGCATGGTTGTAAGCATGAGATTACTTATCACAGTCAAAAAAGTTGAAGATAACTTTAATATCTCAAATAAGAAACTGGTTAAATAAGCTATGAGAGTTTTATATGGCTGTTAAAATGTGTGTGGAAGTTG